ACGACGACGACGACGGCGGCGGCGACGACGACAACGGGCGGGCGGGTCGCCCTTCGGACCGATGATCTCGGCCATGATGCTCTCGGGGTACGCGCTGCGCCGCTCACGCCTGCCCCTGGCGCCGCCGCCGGAGTCCGCCTTGGCGATCTTGGACTGCGAGGAGAGTATCCTGGACTGCCGTCGCCGCCGCCGCCAGCGCCGCAACCGTCGTCGACGTCGATGTCGGCGTCGGCGTCGGCGCCGGCGCCAGCGTCGGAATCGGCGTCGGCGTGGTCGGCGTCGGCATCGTCGCCGTTCGGCTACACGCAAGAGGGACCCTGGGTAAGAGTGGCCTTTGGCGCGCGGCTTTCGGGGAGCCGCGGGGGGGGGGGACAAACATCAGCACGCAAAACGCAACTACACGTATCGCACCGCGCTCGGCGATCGGGGGACCCCATTGGGCCCGCACCAGAGGTCACTCCATCGGAAGGTCACTCTTGCGTCCAGTCGGGTCGTCAAGGGTCGACAATTCTGGACGTGTCCGTTTGACTCCGGCGTGCGGCGTCCTCTCCTCTTGCTCCGCTTCCGTTTAACCCCTCCGCTGGCCCACCGCCTGCCTGGACCCAGCCCGCCGCAGTCAAGAATGTGTAGCGTCTTTCGCGATGCGGCCTGACTGCTCACTGGCGGCCCGACTGGCTGCCCGACTGGCTGACTGGCCGCACCCGATCGCGAGCCGTTTTTGCTCGAACGGTCGACCGTTCAACGTCTCGCACGGCAAGTCGCAGGCCGGGTTGCCCCTGGCCGTCGAGCGCGCACCCTGTGGTGCAACTGAAAGGGGGCCGCTGTGTCTCCGGCCGCCGAGGCCGCAACCGATGGCGCAGCAGATAACAGGCGGTGTTGCATCCGGCCGTGGAGAGCGCAACCTGTGGCTCGACAGCCAACCGGGTTTTCGGCCGCCGAGTGGGCAGCCTGCGACGACACCCACAGCAGGAGAGGCGGTGTTACCATCTTGCACAGCCTGCGTTCTGAAAATCGGACCCCGTCCCCTCCTGGCCCTTCCGCTCGCTCCCCAGCCCAGCCCCCCCGCCCGGACCCTTTCACTTTCGTCCTTCGTCGTTCGCGGCTGGTCCAGGGCCCTCATGCATCAGCCCCCTTGGCCCCCTCGCCCACCCCATTCGCCCCGTAGCCCCTGCACCCTCGCACGGACCCTGCTCATCTCCGTCCTCAACGGCGGCAAAGGTCCCCAATGTCCTCGCAATGACGGGCTCTGCTCTGGGTGGGGTCTGCGCAGCTGCGGTCTCTCCCTCTCTCCCTCTCTCTCTCTCTGTTCCTCCTCTCTCCCTCCCTCTGTGCTCCCCCCTCCTCCCCCTCGCCTCCCCACCTCCTGCTCCGGACAGTGTCCGAGCGGCGCTGCGAACAGAGAGAGCACCACCACGACGGCGCCCACGACCACCGCGACGCCGACGGCGGCGGCGACGCCCGCGACCACGACGACGAGGCGGCAGGCGACGGCCGCAGCGACAGGCGCCGACGACCACGGCGACCGCGACGACGACCACGACGACGACGGTCGACGGCCCCACCTCCGCAGGCCGCCGACGGCCTGTGGAGGGCCTCCGTGCACGGCCCCCCCGCGGGCCGCCTAGAGGACACCCGCAGGATCCATGGGAGGACCTCTCTCGGGCCAGACGAAAGTAGGGGGCAAGCAAACCTACCTCGCTTTTGACCACCCTCGCTTCCAAGAGGTACCAAGCGATGCCAAACTACGGCCTGTACTGATCAGGCCGCTTGACGAGGAGGCGCGTGGTATGACTTGGTTTTGCCTGGAAGCGAAACCGGGGTAGGTAATTCACGCTCTGAGAAAGGGGGGGATAGCAAAGGGGGGGTTCGAGAATCAGCTCACGTAGCCGATTCCACCGGCGCCTCCCGGCGCCGGGAGGCGCCCATGCATCGAGGAATGGGCCCGGCGGCGGGGCCGAAACCAGCTGCATGCAGCAGATTTCGTAACCCCCCCTTTCCCAAACCCCTCCTTTCGCCCGACCCGACTCTCTAACCCGCCCCCCCCGGACCCAGACCTCCTCGCGCTGTGAGGTCATCACGACGCAGGGTTGTTCGCCAATCTCGGCCCCGCGATTCAGCCCTCGGGTCACGGAAAACTCGCGGCGGGAGGATTTTTCTGCGATGTTCGGTCACTCGTGGCCCTTACCGGGCCTCGGAACCGTCAACAACAACCAACGACTCGGGACGAGAGACCAGTTCCGGGGAAGGGGTCGACCTCCAGCTGGGTCGACGTTGCGACAAAACTCACGGCGTCGGGGGCGTGGGAACCTACAGGCCCCCGACGTCGCGAGCTCTGCACAGCGTGGGCCCTCTCCGGCTACACCGCAGGAGCGGCTCCCTGATGCGGGAGGGGCCCTCGGTGCGCGGCTTCCGGAGGGCCGCGGTGGGGGGGCGTCGAACCCAAGCGCGCAGGCCGCCTCGAAGCAGAGCTTGAGGGGGGACTCCCGTGGTCCCGCACAAGATGCCACTGCGGTGGACAAACCTCCCTTTAGTAAACCTCCCCATATCGACAACGGCCTGGGGCCGAAACCGACGGACCCGGACCCGCAGAAATGACGGCCGCGACGCCCCCATCGCGAACCGAGAAGGGCCAGATCGCGAATCGACGTGTCAGGGCAGGAGGTTTGTCAACCTCGGAACTGTGGCGAAAGGTCATCCTGCCCCTGGGATGGGCGCCCCCTCCCGAGCCGTTGAGGGCCGGCCCGGGTTGCCCTCTGAGGGCCGCCAGAGGCCAAGGCGGGCAGAGCTTATGCGCCCTGGCAGCAGAGCAGCAGCGGAGAGCACGGCAGTACTACGGCGCTGCACACGCGGGAGAGCAAACGTGGGAGCACATGTACGGAAGACCACACAAGAGACCACACGGGAGACCATACGGCAGACGACACCGGAGACCACACCTGAGACCACACGAAGGCCACACACGCGCACACACACACACGCACACGCACAAACACGCACACGCGCACACACACACACACACACACACACACACACACACACACACACACACACACACACACACACACACGCGCACACGAGCACTCACACACACACACACACACACGCACACACACACACACACACACACACACACACACACACACACACACACACACACACACACACACACTGGAGGCCACGTGGGGGAGCACGCACGTGCGACGACGGGCCACCGACCCTGGCTCCCGCGGGCCTCATATCCGGTCCCATGGGCACGCTGCTCCGGGAACCTCCCGCCGAGATTTCTTGTCGCGACGCGAGGGGGCCTGGGAAGCGCCGCTGTGGCCATCGCTCGGACGTCCATTCCCTGTGCTTTTTCGGTTTCGTGCGTAGTTTTTTCGCCAAATGGTCAAGGATGCTCCTCGATGGTCCTCGCCGAAAAAAAATGCACACGTCCGAGCGATGCCAGGCGCTGAGGGGCCACCGAAACCGCTGTCGAAGCCCAGCGGCGGCTGCGGACCCAAACCTCCGATGTCTTGTTTTTTGCTGGTTTAGAAGCACGGGGTCCCTGGAGCTCTGGACCACTCCCCGTGAACTTGTTTTTCGTACCGATCATGCTTGTTGACATCCCGCGGGCCCGGCGAGAGCCCCGAGACGCTTTTTTGGGTTTCTGAAGCGCGGGGTCTCTGGAGCTCTGGACCACTCCCAAGGGACCTGCTTTTCGCACCGAGCCTGTTTGTTGACGCCCCCGAGGCCTAGCGAGAGCCCCCAGACGCCGAAAACGACGAAACCACTCCTTCTTGATTTGTTCCACACGTTGCGTCTTCTGCCCCGGATCCATCCTTGCACGTGGCTCTGGGACGGGCCCCCCAGGCCAGAAACGAGGAACGCCCTGAGACATCCGACGGCGCGAACAGAATGCAGACGTCGCGACAAGTCATCACGGGAGCCCTAAATTGTAGAGTTATGCTGCTCCCATCGTACTTAAGGACCGCATCCCAAAAATAATTTCGAGCACCCGGAAAAGTGCCGAAAGAGTGTCTCCCAGGGCCCGACGCGTGAAAACCCTTCAGTTTGGGGGCATTTTCTGGCGCTCGAAATTCTTTCTGGTGATCAATGCGTGCAAGACTCATATCCATATCCAGTGCCTCTTGGACTTTTTTGGAAGCAGCGCCACAAGGCCGAGGCGCACTGGATATGGATTAAAATCGAGCCTCTAGGGGGCAAATCTATGCATATCCGGTGCGCCTCGGGTTTCTTGGGAAGGGAGCCCGAAACTCCATACTGCAGTGGATATAGACAGAAGTATTGGCCGCAATCAAGGCTAAAGTAGGTTGGAGCATCAGAACTATCGAGGCCCACCTTCCCGTGCCACTCTCCAGGCCAGCCCGAGCTGCGACGGCCCGGGGGCCCAAAGGCCAGGCGAGGCCGCCCGGCCCGAGAGAATCGAGACGCCAGGATCTCTTGGCGGCGCGCACACGGGTCCTCCTCCTCCTCCTCCTCCTCCTCCTCTTCCTCCTCTTCCTCCTCCTCCTCTTCCTCCTCCTCCTCCTCCTCGGGGGGGGGGAGTTTGGACGCCCGAAATGGCTGCGGAAAGAATGGGTACCATGCCCAACAGCAAATGTTGTCCCAAACCGGCAGCGGCCGCTGTCGGGCAGGCGGCCTTCTGTCTCGAATGGACACAGGCCGCGGCGACACCGACAGCGAGTCCTGTTCAAAATGAACAAGAACTGCTGTTTGGCATTGTACCCATTCTTTCCGTACCCGTTTCGTTCGTGCAGAGGGAGGGCCTCTTAGAAGGAGGCTGCTTCTCAGAAGGCGCCGGCCTTACTCCTATAGGCAAGGCCCGCGCCTCCTACGCAGCAGGGGTGCTCCGAAGAGAAGCCCTCCCCCCTCCCCCCCCACCCCCCCTCTGCGCCTTCTACGCAGCAGGGGTGCTCCGAAGCGAAGCCCTCCCCCCTCCCCCCCCCGCCCCCCTCTGCGCGTGGCTGAATCTCGGGGCACCGCCCGGACTGAAAACGTCACATCGCCGGAGGTCTGGGGGCGGCGGCAGCTCCAAGGTGCCCCGGATATCCATCTCTGCAGGCCGTGCAAGCGAGGCCCCGCACGCACGGGCGCCAGGGGCCGACCTCGAGGCCAGCCGCCCAGATCGAAGAAATCGCCTCGCCGGAGCCTCAGATCGGGGCGTTGCAATTTTGCACACTGGTCGTGATTTCTTGTAGGGGCCCCAGGACACGCAAATAAATGCACACAAGCAAAAATATTCCCCATATCTTCGAATATTTTCGGGGTTTCTGTCTTCCCCCCCACTGCCCGTACTTTCCCATATTTGCTGGGGAATCGAGGATTACTTGTGTCTGTGTGTTTTTGTTCCTCCTGAATTCTGGCGACGTGGCATTTTTTGGCAGCGTCGGATCTCAGGGGACGAGGTCTGGGGGCGGCGGCGGCTGCGGACGGCGTCCTCTCGGACTCCGACCAGGTGGCGCAACCCGACCGGACGCACCTCTCGGCCGCCTCGTGGGTCGTGAACCTCGCACGCGCGCGGGACGGCACCGCCGCAGTGCATTGTCCTCCCGGTTCGTCCGCCTCCTCCTCCTCCTCCTCCTCCTCCTCCTCCTCCTCCTCCTCCTCCTCCTCCTCCTCCTCCTCCTCCTCTGAGATCCTGGCGTCGATCGGGCTCGAAAAATACTCAGAAAGGTAGGGTCTAGGGTTCCGGTCGTGATGAGTCACGATGTCTCAACTGTTCTCGCCGTCGGATCTCAGAGTTCGTGCGCCTCCGTTCTCTTCGTCCTCCCCTTCGTCCCCCGCCCCTCCTCCTCAGTCCGCCTCCCCCTCGCCTGCACATGCTGCTCTTCCAGTTCCGCCTTCTTCTCCGACTCCATGCTCCTACCCATGCTCCTTCTCCAAAGCATCATGATCTTTCCTTCCACCTGCATAATATTCCTCCTCAGTCTCCTCCCTCATCCCTCCTCCACCGCCTCTTCCACCTCCTCCTCTTCTACCTCCCACCTCCTCCTCCTGTCGATCCTGTCGATCCTTGCGCAGCCAAGCTCCTCCAGGCGAGACAACTGGGCGGCGGGCGACGGCGAGCGACGCGAAAACGAGGCCAGGGCCAGCAGGCGCGCGACCGCACAGCTAGGGCCCCGACCGATGGAGGGGTACAGGCCGACCCACGAAGGATTTGGTGGACGGATCCTTCCCCTCCTTCAGCTGCTTTAGGGTCTTCTCCGCTGGCTTGTTGGGAGGCGCGCCAGGGCACGGACCTCCCAATAGGCACAGCTTGACAGATCCAAAAGCAGCGCACGAATTACACCAAACAACACGCCCGCCGCTAATCCAGAGCTTATGGCTGGAGTGGGCGAGCCTGGCAAGCCTGGGGAGGCCCGAGCACGGCAGTGCACACACTGACGCCTCTGAAAACCCCGCGGCTCCACAGTTCACACAGAGGTAGGCCCCCTTCCCCTTCGTGCCCGTCCTGTGGACAGCATGCCCCTTGAAATCACAGACCAAAACTAAAGGGTCATGCTTGGGGCGGGGGGGGGCCTTACATTTCTGGACATCGGGGAAATTCTGCTTGCTGAGCATCTCCCCAAAACACGCAATGAACTTACTGAAGTCTGCTACCTCCGAACTTCTCTGTTTCTGGAGGGCGCGGAGGCGAGGATTGCAAGGGTGCTCCAGGGCTCCGCGCTTCGCAAGACCGTCAGCAATGCCGTTGCCGACCCAGGCCCAGTGGGGGGCCTCAGAGGTCTCTAGACACCTGCTCCAGGAAATGTGACTCTTAATTTTGTGCAGGCAGATCATTCCTAGACCTATATCTAGAACACGATCCCATACGAGCTCCCAGACCTCCGAGAACGCAACCTCAGACATGTCCGACTCGGGCCCGCGGGCCCACACGTCCAAGACGGCCTGGCAATCAGTGTAGATCTGGGTGCACTGCGAGGGCCCAATGAGCTTGAGGGCCATCAGCAACGCATACAGTTCACCTGCTCCTGATTCCTGGACGGGATGAGGAAGGGGTCCAAACGCACTGCCCTCGCAACGACTGCTCTGATCCATGGCTACCACTGCCCAACCTGCACGCGCAGCGTACAGGGAAGTCGTGTCGAAACCTGAGCCGTCGATGCATATCCTGCTGCCTAGGAAACCTGCTTCTGGCAATTTATCCCACCGCCAGGTCTCGGCCGTGGACACCTTGGGCCAATCGTACCCTGGGTCTGCACATAGCGCTCTCGTCGACAAGAAATCGTAGGCGCCCAGCTGCAAGCCTCTGTCCACGCACTGCGGCAGGTCTAAGTCCCGCCTAAACATAAAGAAACCATCACACTGGAATAAACGATGCTGAGGCGTGCCGTTATACATGCCGCATACCCTGCACAGCGGCGTGATGGCTCGCCTGTCCTGGAATAAAAAACCCTGGGTGGGATGACCTCCTGCGACTACATTACACAAAAAGGCGGCAGCTGAGTTTCTCCCCGCTCTCCTGAGGCCTCTGAGGGTATCCATGATGGGCCCCAGGAGGGGAGGAACCACACGCTCAGGATCTTCGGGATCAGGGACCCCAACATGCTCCAGAAGCCTCATGCGTGTACTGTAGTCAATCAACTTAGTGAGGGTGCGCTTCCCGAAGTGGTTGAGGTCCAGTAGGAAGCCACGGCAAGACTCCCAGGTGCCCCAAGCAGTAAACCTCCAGCCCAGACGATCCAGGGTCGCCCACACGGCTCCAGCAGGCCCCCGAACCTTGTCCCAAGTCCTGGAGGCTGCCTTGGGGCAGGCCTGCACGCAGGCCCTCATGATATGCTCGGGGACCCTTTTCTGTTTCACTGCCTGTTGCCACATCTTGAGTGGCAGGAGGTTGGCCTGGAACACAGGGTCCAAGCCCTTGGTCGGGCCCAACAAAAACGGCAGAGTCCTGGAACGGCCCCTTCCTTTGCCGAACGATGCCTGGCCTATGATCGAGCGCAGCTTCATGACCGTGGAAGTGTTCATGCCTATGGCCGCTGTGCCGTAAAAAGCTGCTGGCAATCCACCTGCCTTCACGACCTTGCACAGGCCAGAGTAGCCCGAGCGGAGGCCCCTAAATCGGCGAACTCGGGGCCCCAAACTCTCCCATCTCGACCCCTGGACTGGAGTTCGGCGCCGACCAGCAGTGCAGTCAACCCCTAGGTTGCGAGCTGACTTGACCACCTGGAATTTCCAACGCAACAGTCGTGTTTTCACCCGAACCTCAATGTCCCGAGAAGTCGCCGTGATCAGGCCTTTCGTGGGAGAGATCAGGAATCCAAGTTTCTCCCGGTTGCTGCACAGCGCAAAAGTAGCATCGGCCGCCGTTCTCGCCACCGCCCTAGCCTTACCTGTAGCACCACACGTAATATCATCAACAACATTGCACATCCGAACCGAAGGGGACTTCGAAACCACATGGTCAAGCGGGTCGAGAAGGAGGCACTTTAGCAGGGTGGTGGCGAACGTACAGCCTGCCAAGGTCGCCTAGATGCAGGCGACAAACTCAGAGCAGACCCTGCCCACTTGCAAGACCCTCTGGCCCCTGTACAAGCAGAGGAGGTAGCGCAGGCGATGCAGAGGGATACCGTGCTTGATGACCGCCGAGGCCAAGAAGAAATGAACCACCTTCTCATAGCACTTGGTCATATCGACCAGAACAGAAGCTGCTGAGTGCACAAAAACGTACGCGTGCTCCATCCTAATAGCCTGCTCCCAAACAGCTCTTTCGCACGAACGCCCCCTGCTTCCGAAATGGTAAGGCCTGTCATGGGCCCGCTCCCAACGATCAGCCTGTACCCGAGAATATTTCCCAAAGCACCTGACGCTCCCTGACAAGATTCCGATAGGCCGAACACCACCTTCCTCGTCCTTGGGGATCATGGCTATGATAATCGTGGCCAGGACCTCGGGAAGCTTGCCAAGAGACTCCATCCAAAACCAGAGGGCAGCCACGCACTCCAGAGCCCCGTCGCTGAGGATCTCGAAATCCCTGGGGCGTGTCCTATCAGCGCCTATCGCCGTCCTAGCCTTGAACTTCCTGGAGCACTTTCGGATCTGATCGGGCGTGGCCAAGACCATGGGCTCCTCGGAGGACTCGGAGATCTTCTCTGTGAGGAGGCTGATGGGATCAGGGAGATCCTTCATGCTGGGCTTGGGGCTCCATATCTTAGCCCATTCGTCCATGAGGTCGTCGATGCGCCCCATGGGCCCCTTGGGGGGCCCTCCCTTCGGGTTCGAAGGAACCCATCCCAAGGGGACCTTGGTGAACTTGTGGGCCAATCCAGCCCCATTGTCCAGACTTGTCTGGACCCAGGATCTCCAGGCCTTGCCCCGATCCGATTGAAACTGCTTTTCAAGCCGCTCTGCATTACGCTTGGCCTTGGCACACAGCTGCGCGAGGCCACAGAAGTCGAGGCAACGCAGGTCCATCTCAGAGACTGCGCACTCTTGCCAAAAAGGGTCGGCACGGAGCGCTGCAGGCCCTTGTAGCACTTGGAGAAAAAGTGATCTGGCATCTGGTCGGTCCAAAGGCACTCCTTTCCTGACGAGATAGCTAAGCTCCTGAATGTGGATGGACCACTTCCTCCAAGCTCTCCCTTTGGCCGAAGAAACAGGGTAAGCACCGCCCGAGACTGGTGCAGCTGGATGGATTTTAGTCTTCATTCCTTTGGCCCGACCGCGATACTTGTGCGCATCGCTCTTGTCAATGCCGTGGATACCTATCATCTCATCCTCGAAAAGCTTGCAACACCTAGCGTAGCCCCTGTCCAGAGCTGCCTGGTCGCCGCGCGCCTCGAGCTGAGCTAAACATGCAGACCAATCTGGAGGTGGAGGCCGCGGACCGAGCGGGGCTTCTCGAGGGAACACCTTCGGACCCACAAGGACCCTGGTCTTGAGCTCTCTGGGGGCACCTGAGAGGTCCAGCGTGACGGGCCAATGCGGGGCAGTCGTACCACGTTTGTTAATCGAGACAGCGTCGAACAAGGGCCCGAGCGACTTCGAGATGACGAAAAAGTCGATGGTGGTCCAGGATGTCGACGATTTTCGACATGTCGGCTCGGAAGTGTGGAAAATTGTGCCCCCAATCTTGTCCACCCAACCCGTGTCCGCAAGCAGCTTCGGCGATGTGTTGAAATCCCCCCCTATCACGAAGGGTAGCTGCCAACCATGGAGCTCCCCGCCAAGCCTGTTGAGGATCTGGAAACTGTTGAGGCCCAAGGGATCATCACAATCGAGATAGAGCGAAAACACAGCGATACCTCCTGGCACAAACATGTCCAACCAAACTCCGCATATTCGGTGTGGCTGAGGAAAGGGGCGGACCAGCGGTAAGGACCCCATCCCAATGTGACTCCTGACCGCGATCCCCGTCCCACCACTGAGCCCTCCCTTGTCTGTGGTTCTGCTTGGGTGCACGAGAGCATTCCAACCCAACTGGCGTAGCTGGTGGGTACCCTCCCGATGATCATCTCCAAAAGCGAAATCCTGGAAAACGACAACCTGGCCGAAAGACTCGGACTG